TTAAAAGGAAAAATCACAAGTTCATATTATTTCCAATTAACCTTTACATGGATTCTACTTACTCTGAAAATCATCATTCTAATACTTTTTACCTATAATATACAAGAATAGTTTGAAAGTAATAATATCTATATTTTTACTAGCAATAAGACTACTGAATGAAGTTTAAGGTTTCTTTGTCAATCCACTTATCCTGAGAGCATATTCCACTGTGAATCTACAGTGAAAAACACTATTTTCTAAAGTCCTTTAATTGCTCACTTGGTGTGGTTATGCCACCAACTTAAAAATAAGTTAGGTCATTTGCTTTAGTTTTTTCAAATTTTAGGAGTTATATTTTTCTTTTGATTTTAAAATTATTTTGAACATGTACAATGTATACATGATTCTAAAGTCAAAATTACATAGTCAAAGTATATTCAGAATAGTCTGATTCCATGCCAATTCCCTCTACCTATTTCCTCCCATCCCAAATATATACAAATATATTTTTGTAGTTTGCCTATCTTATTTTTAAAAAAGCATTCTATATTGCTCTGCACCTTGGTTTTGTTTTGTTTTTAACATGTATTCTATTCTGTAGGTCATTCCACATCAGTGTAGAGAGATGGCCTTCATGCTTTTTAACAGTTGCACTGTATGTTTCATTGTATGGATCTACCCTTTTCAACTAATCCCCTATTTATGGTTATTTGGTTTATTTCCAGTCTTTTGCTATTATAAATAACACTGCAATGAATAATCTTGTGCATAAGTCATTTTGTATTTTGGGGACAATACCTAGAACTAAGATTTCTGGGTCAAGGGGTAAATGTATGTATGTGTTTTCGTTAGAGATTATTAAATTCCCTTTAATAGGTTCTGTGTATCATTTTACATTCTCACTGGCAATATGTTCTTCCTGTTCCCCACAGCCTGCCAACCCAGTAGGTGGTCAAACTTTTGGATTCTTGCTAATCTGATTACTTGCCTCCTTTTATCATTCCGCCCCAAGATATACCATGATGCTTTCATCTGCTTTTGGAAGAACTCTCTTAGCATAAACAATAGGTGATTGTGTTGAGGTTGATAGGGGGATGGCTGCAGTGTCCCTGTTTCCACTTGCTTAATCATGGAAATGCCAAAACCCCAAACATACACCATTCTTGTTAAGACCTTGTGTTTCCAAAGGCTGGTTCAGGTTTCCAGCAAAAAGAAAAAAAAAGACATCAAATTTGACCTCCCTTCTTTCTAAGGTCAGCAGAATGCAGAGAGGACAGTAAATGAAGTCCACTGATACTTTACCAGTTTCAGGATCCTGAGAAAGGTAAAGGAGGAACTCTGATCACCTGTTGTCAGCTTGCTGTCTCCAGAACAACCCGAATGTCATGCAGAAGATGTCCCTGTGTATGGCTGGATGTTTCCAGATTGTGAAGTGACCACTCTTTAACTTGCAGGGCTGCCTATACCCAGGACCTTTTCTTTTGCTGTTTTGTATGAGTAAATGTGATGAATAGAAATTATTTTTTTCTTTCAACTTATCTCATTTCTCTGTGCCCTCATGGGTGAGTCTGTCCCCCAGAGGACATTTGACAATGTCCTGAGATAAACCTGGTTGCCACAACTTGGAGAGGGGTACTGCTGGCATCTAGCGAGTAGAGGCCAGGGATGCTGCTAAACATCCTACCATGCACAGGACAGCTTCCCCCCACCACCCCTCAACAAGGAATTATTTGGTCCAAAATGTCAATAATGCCAATGTTGAGAAATCCTGCTGTATTCTTTCTTTATGCGCACATTCACAGACATCCTCAAAATGACTACTGTCAGTGGCAAAGGAAGGGCAGAATCACAGATACTTCCTCTCTTTGCTCCTTCTAAAGTCACCAGCAATTCAGAAATCTCTTTAGCCAGAGTGATATATTTATCTGGAAGACAGAAGAACAAATACCATTTTAACCTTCTAAAAACTGATTATCATTAGGTATAATGCAAGCTTTTAACTGTAAGTATAAAGGAAAGTGCTGATTATTTAAAATAAATGGGACCAAAAGTCCCATGAATAATCAAAAACTTGGTTAATAGAGTATAACCAGAGAATAATACAATTGGCTTCTGTGGAGAAATTAAAGTACAAGCTGTGAATTGGTATTAAGGAAATTGCATGAAAAGTTAGTCTTAAGGTACCATGATTTTGGAGAAACAGCCTCAGGTGCACAATATATCATATCCAGTCTTTATCTCTGTTTTTTTCATGACTTCTTTCACCTTGGATAACCCAGAAGCTTAGGTTTTGGAACTTTTTAGAATGGTAAGGTATCTCACTCTCCACATTAATTTTCATCTAGAACAGACCTGAATTTTATTGCCAGGAGTTTATCTCTTTCAAAGGAATTATTTTTGAACTTTAGCTTGCCTTATTTTGTGGGCATGGACCGTGTTTAATACTTATTTGCATAATTCACTTTATCTAAAGTGTACCCCTGAAAAGTTACGCCTAAATTGTATTTTTGGCAGTAAATTCAGATTTTTAAATCACAAAGGAAATTTACCATTTAAAAGGAGTCGGAGACTAAATCTTTTGTAGAGAAGGGCAACTCCTTTTTTTGCAAAGTGAATAATTACTCTTTGCCTTTTTTAAGTCTAATTTTTTTTTGTAGCTCAAGTCTAGTCCAGTAAATGCATAACGCTAATTTAAAAAATATCAGTCATGAATTAGAAAGGATTTAGATAGTTGAAGAGTTTCACAAGCAATTTTTAAGAATGTAAAACTGCATAATACATCCTTTATTATTAAATAAGGGTTTTAACTCTTGTTTTGGGTGATGAGAATACTAGACATACTTGGAAAAGTTATGGAAACGATAACCACACTGTCGGCAATAAGAAGAGAATGGCTGGTAGCCTGTTACTCAGAGAAACAGTGTAATGTTGTGGTTAAGAGCATGGATTCAGAAACCAGATTGCTTGGATTTGCATCTCTGCCTAGTGTGGCCTTAGGCAATTTACACGACTTGGCTATGCCTCAATTTCATCATATGAAACATGGAGAATGCTATTACATACCAATGGGGTTGTTCTGAGGATTAAATGAACTAATACATGAGTTGTAAGTAGAAAGTACTAGGGTCATTTAAACAGTTTTGAATTCTGGTGAGCGGCTTCCTTCAAAAGAGGAAGCTTTTTAAAGAGGCGCCTCTCCACACACTTGTGGGAAGTATGTGGGCTGTACACAGGAGGAAACAAGGCCAGTGTCCAGGACAAGGATCGAGGACATACCTTGGGAAAAAGAGCCCATTCTGCCCGGCCATGCCACCTTCTGTCTGGTCGCGAGGCGTGGGCACAAAATCTCAGCCCCACGCATGTACTTTGTCCCCCTACCACAAATGAATGGTGGCCCACAGCTCCCGAAGCCCCGCAGCCGGACAAGCAGCCATCACGCCGGTCCACTACCACTGCCAGTGGCTAGTGGTGGATGGCTACGAGAAGCTTTCCAGAGCTGGACGACCGGGAGGGCT